GGTGGGCGAACAAAATCTGAAGACTCTACCCTGCAGGCAGACGCCGACAATCGGCTGAGGTAACAACAGGACGATCATGATGTCATGAGGCGATTCGCTCAGGATATGTTCAAAATATGTTACGGAATACTTAGCGGCCCTCGTTTCTAGATCCTGGAAGCCTGGAAATTTGGGAAATCCTGAAAATCCTGGGGCTTATCATTAGCATGACTTCTTGCTACCCTGGACCGAGCGACCGTATTCGGCCTTAGGCACAGGACACTGCACCACACGCCGTCGAGCAACAAAGTCTGGCATCGGGGCACCGCAAAAGGCGGGGGTGGCCAGAGCAGGGATCATGCACCGCCCTAAGCAACCTGAGAGTGATCCTGACGACACTCAGTCGGAAGCGAGGGGGTGAGGTCGCAGTGGAACGGAAAGCCCCCCTCCGGGAAATCGGTTTCGGTTTCGTGTTAGTGTCGTGCGTGCGGGCGCGTGGGCGCGCGAGAGGAATGATGCCGCCGTGGCTAGGGGACGTGGAGCCGGTTGACCGCCCCCCCCCCACCCCTGGCGCGCGGTGGCCCGGGGTGTCCTGTCGGTGGCGCAGCGGTGACCCGTCGGTGTCCCGACGGTGGCGCGGCGGTGTGCCGTCGGTGGCGCGGGGTGTCCAGTCGGTGGCGCGCGCGGGGTGTCCCGTCGGTGGCGCGGCGGTGAGATCGATAGTGAGATCGATAGTGAGATCGACTGTGAGATCTGTTGTGAGATCGATACTGGGATATTTTGTGAGAACGGTAGAGAGGTCTGTTGTGAGATCTATAGTGTAAACGACACTGAGATCGGTACTGAGATCGATCGTGATATCGATTGTGAAATCGATTGCGAGACCGACAATGAGATCGATGGTGAGGTCGATTGTAAGATCGATCGTGAGAACGATAATGAGGGCTGTTGTGAGATCGATAGTGAGTCCAGATGTGAAAACGATAGTGAGATCGATGGTTAAATCGATTGAGAGATCGGTACTGAGGCCGATAGTGAGAACTGTTGTGAGATCGATAGTGAGTCCAGATGTGGGAACGATAGTGAGTTCGATTGTCACATCGATTGTACTATCGATTGTGGGTTCGATTGTCAGGTCGATTGTAAGATCGATAGTAAAATCGATTGTGCGATCGATGAGACCGATTCGGATATCGATAGTGAGATCTGTTGTGAGATCGATCGAGAGATCGATGGTTAGATCGCTCGTGGGATTGAATGGTGGGATCGACAGTGAGATCGACACTGAAATCGATTGTGAGATCATTTGTCAGATCGAGTGTGAGACCAGTAGTGAGAGCCATGGTGGCATCGATTATGATATCGATAGTGAGATCGATAGTGAGACCTGCTGTGAGATCGCTGGTGAATCCGAATGTGAGGTCGATACTGAGTTCAAGTATTAGATCGATGGTGAGGTCGACTGTGGGATCTGTTGCGAGATCGATCGTGGGGTCGCTTGTGAGATCGATAGTGAGTTCGATTGTCACATCGATTGTGGGATCTGTTGTGAGATCGATAATGACATCTGTTGTGAGATCGATCGTGAGATCGATGGTGAGATCGAGAGTTTGATCGATGTGAGTTCCCCCTCCCCCCCCCCCCCGAAGCTCCATGTCACCCGAAGGGTGGTCGTACAGGTACGAAAAGATAATGTTTCCGCCGTAGAGGCCGCGAACCCCAGGACGGCTGGACATCTTACGACTACGGCAAGCCTGTGGCACAGTCGATGTGTAAGATTCGCATGCCCGCCTGGGGCAAATGTCCCCCATGAGACAAAGAAAAGACGCCATACACTAAAAATGTTGGCGCTTGTTTCTTCTTCGACCCATGGGGGACAGCCTAATGCTCAGACTGAGGGGGCCGAGCCTTCCTACACTGTCCTTGGGCGCGTGGTTGAAGTGGTGTTTCGCGGGCTGATTGTCGTTGCTCTTTTTAACCATCGACCCCTTGCCATCATTCCTATGGTTGGCCCTGCCCTGCGATCCACCCGCGACCCGCCTCACAACCCACCAGCGAACCAACGCGACCCAACCGCGACCTGCCCCGCGACCCACCCACGACCCACATGTATATGTGTATACATACATACATATATATACACACAACTGCATACATACATACATACATACATACCTACCTACCTACCTACCGACCGACCGACCGACCTACATACATACATACATACATACATACATACATACATACATACATACATACATACAGACAGACAGACAGACAGACAGACAGACAGACAGACATACAGACATACAGACATACAGACATACAAACATACAGACATACAGACATACAGACATACAGACATACAGACATGTATATGTACATACGTACATACGTACATACGTACATACGTACATACGTACATACGTACATACGTACATACGTACATACGTACATACGTACATATATATATATATATGTATATGTTATGTGCGTGTGTGTATCCGCCGACCACCTTTGCGGGGCCACCAGGCTGTAGAATAAGGCTGATGCACCCTGCACCAGTCGCAGCTTCCAGTCTCCAACAGTACACGCTTGCCTTCTGCTTCTCATCGTAAACGGTTGCAGTCCGCGCGACGGGAGGTGGCCCAGACTGGCAACTTGCCACCCTCAGATCGCGTACTCTGAATGCCCGGGGGGCGTGGGACACGTAGAAATGCTTGGGGCTCGCGCCCCCGAAGCCATCATCCCCCGTAAGGCATTCACTACTCGCGTCTCCGAGGCCACTTACCCTCGCCAATTACACAATTTGCGCGTCCCCGAAAGCAACACACCCTCGCAGACAAATGCATGCCCCGCGTGCCGTGAGAAAGCACGGGAGACCAAGGCCCGCGCCCGGGCCCCAGGGGAACGCCGCTCCCCAGCCGTGGGGCGCGGCGCCCCGATCGTCGCCTTGACGCCCGTCGCAGCGACGCCCGGGCGACGATATCTATACATATCCACTGCTCCCGGCCAGGCCAATCCTGGGCCCAAGAGCTGTGTATACGCCCTCCTGGCTTGGCCAGGGAGGCATATACACCGCTCCTGGGCCCAGGATGGGCCTGGCCAGGAGCAGTGGATATGCATAGATCTCGTCGCCCTACGATACGCCGCGGGCGCGACGAACCCCAGGGCGCGGGCGGGTGTGACCAAACGCAGCACGCGGCCACACACGGGCAGCGTGCACGCCACGGCCCGAACGGAGGCCCCGAGCCAGAGGAGCGAACGCCCATCGAGCCACCGACGGCCGACCGGGCGGCAGCGGGGAGGCGGCTCCCCCGCCGGCGGCCGCACGTGGGCGGACCGCGGACGAGAGGGCTTTTTTGCAATCCGGTTTTTTTTTGCAATCCTTCGGGTTTTTTTTGCAATCCTGCGTTTTTGTTACAATCCGGGGTTTCTTGGTGTTTTTTTGCAATCCTGGGTTTTTGTTGCAATCCTGGGTTTCTTTGCAATCCTTCGTTCAAGGAAGACCAGGAGCGGCAGACGCACGAGCAGAGCAGCACCAGCACCCCTCCCTTCCCCACGGCCCAGCACCCCGACCCCCCCTCCCGCCCCACGGACGAGGCGAGGGTAGGGGAGCTAGGGGAGTCGCAGGAGCGGCGCTCGTGCCGGCACGCCATCGCTGCGACAGTGCGGGCACGGTCCCCGCGCGCATGCGTACTCAGAATTGCTCAGGATTCGCGCCCCTGAAGCAGTAAACCCTTTGCAAATTACTCCGTATGCGCACTGCCGAGGCCGAGGGTGCTCCAAGGCGCCCGAAGATTGTTCCAAGACGGCGCCAAGAGGCCTCCAGAGAGCGCTCCAAGAGGCCTCCCGAGAGAGCCCCAAAAAGCCCAAATCATGAATGTCACTCTGGTATTTGGAGGATTTGGGCTTGCTCTCAGGGTCGGCTTTCCGACGCTCCAAGACGGCTCAAGAAGCTCCAAGACCGCCCCAAGACAGCCTAAGAGGCCTCCACGAGGGCCCCAAGACGGCCCAAGAGGGCTACAAAATGGCCCAAGAAGCGGTCAAGACGGCCCAAAGAGGGCCCCAAGATGGCCCCGAAAGGGGCCCAAGCAGGGGACCACGAACCGACAATTCTATATTTGTGCCCGAAGCCTCCACGAGGCCCCAAGAGGCCGCCAAGAGGCCCCAAGAGGCCCCAAGAGGCCCCAAGAGGCGCCCAAGAAGCCTCCAAGAAGCCCAACAAATACTCCACGAGGCCCCAAAAGGCCCCAAGAGGCGCCCAAACCGCATGCAAGAGGCCCCGAGAGGCTCCCCACGACAACCCAACACATATACAAGAGGCCTCAGACCCACAACCCAGGCTCGGTGGCGGGACGGGTCGAAAACCACTCGGATAACGCCCACTTCCCAGTATGCGCGGGTGATTCCTATCCGCCCCCCCATGATGTTCCCAAATGAGCCAAGGCAGCGCCGAGACGCACCAACGTGGCTCTGAGATATCCCATTCTGATAGAGAGGGGGCCGGCGACAGGGGGCGAAACCCTTACGAATCGATGTGTATATACATATGTGTATATATAGATACAGAGAGACAGACAGAAAGACAGACAGACAGACAGACAGACAGACAGACAGACAAACAGACGCACAGACAGTCTGACAGATCGACAGAAATGCATCCATGCATGCATGCATACATACATACCTGCCAGCCTAAACACCTACCGACCTACAGGCATACAGACAGACAGACAGACAAAACGACAGACAGAAACATATACACGCACAGATAGGTAGACAGACAGACAGACAGACAGACCGACGGACAGACAGACAGACAGGCAGACAGACAGACAGACACACACACACAAGCATGCATGCATGTATGCATACCTACCTACCGACCTACCTACCGGCCTGCATTACATTAAATTACACGACTTGCTATTACATGACATTACATTGTGTTACATTACATTACACTACGCTTAACTACACTACAAAACGAGACATTACACTACATTACACGTCATTACCTTACTTTACGTTACAATACATTGCACTTTTCTACGCTACACTACACTACAATACACGACGCCACCATGCATACATGCATACATACATGTATGAAAACATACATACATGCCTAAATGCAGGCATGTCTGCATGCCTGCATCCACACATACCTCAATACACACATACACACATACATACATACATGCATACATGCATGAATGCATACATACAGACATACATATATACGTACATACATGCATGTATTAATTCATTCATACATACATGAATACATACATACATACATACATACACACACATACATAAAGACATGCAGACGTGCACACACACACACACACACACACACACACACACACACATGCGTACATACATGCATACATCAATTCACGCATGCATACGCCTGAATGCATACATGCATACATACCTACAGCCATACAAACATGCATACATATACACACATGCATACATACATATATATATACATGCATCCAAACGCACATGCATGCATACATACAAGCATGCATGCACACGTATGCATACACACACGTACACAGACATGCAAACATGCAAACAAACAAACGTACGCACGTACGTGCGAGCATATATACCTACGTACATACATACATACATGCATACATCTATATATATATATACATATATATATATCTATATACGCATACAGGTTACATACATACATACATACATACATACATACATACATACATACATACATACATACATGCATGCAAATATACATACATAACTACATATATGCATACATACAGACAGACAGACAGATAGACAGACAGACAGGCAGACGTGTCCGCCGACCCCGCTTGCCAGGGATGAAAAGGCGTGCGACACATGTGGCTGTCCCCATCCCCCTTTCCCCCTCCCCTGGGTCCAAAATGAAATTCTAAGAGGGGGAAGAGGGGGGCGGGGGACGAGCTCGTCAACGCACCCCGAAATCCCAACAGGGCCCAGACAGAGCGCCAAGACAGTCGGAAAGAGCGTCATGACGGTCCAGGGTAGTCTCACGACGATCCAAGATGGCTTCAAGATGGCCTACGAGGCCCCCCAGACAGCCCATAGGATCGCCGAGAGGGCCCGAAGAGGCCAAAATCACCCCACGTCCTCGGAAAACCACACATTCTCAGCACCCCAAGATGGCCCATGATGCGTCCACGAAGGCCCCAAGACGGCCCAAGAGGGTCCAAAGACAGCCCCAGGGGCCCCCCAAGACGGCCAAGGACAGCCCCTGAAGGGCCGCAAGAGAGCTCCAAGAAAGCCCAGGAGGGGGAATACGAACTGACAGTTCGAGCCTATAAACGATGAAATGCGGTAGGCGTCCTTTGGCCTTGCCGCATGCTCCCCAGGCTTTGCCCGGGGCACGCTGGGTCAACCTGCTCAGAGGCCGCCGTGGCAGTGCAGCGCTGCCAGCCGGCGCTCTGCCTGAGCCTCAGCCCGAAGAACTCCCACCCCCCACAGTTCGAGCCTTTCCCACCGAGATGGCTCCTCGAGCCCCCCAGAGGCCTCCGATAGGCCTTCAAGACGCCCCCAAAAAGCCCCCTCGGAGGCCCCCACGAGGCCCCCAAAAAACTTCCACATGCCCCCAAGAGTTCTCCAAGAGGCCCCACAAGGCATCCCAAGAGACCCTTAGATTCATCCAGGAGGCTCCTGACACAAGATATAACTTCCAGGATCGTCACAAACACTCACTCCTTGTGGGCGTCGGCAGAATGGCGTAAGCCACTTGAATAAATAAAAAAGCGCGCTCTTTGTATGAACAAATCAGCGCTTACGTTTGCTTGCGAGCCTCGCAGATTGTCGACGCCCCCCTGAATAATATCCACAAGGTGGGAGGCTGTGTATGCTGCCATGCTGTTCTCAATCCGTTGATCCTGGCCGAGCTCGGGCGCCCTGAGCATATCGGGGTTCGAGCTGGACCGCGTCCTAGAAATCCTGATGTCCGGCGAGCCCCCCTTCGGAGTCCTGATGGCCCCCGTCGCCTTGGACCCCGATGAATTCACCATGGCCGCCTCACACATGTTCACCATGGCCAACGCGTTCTCGCAGAGCTCGGGCTGTGAGTCTTCGACAACGCTCTGCACGAGCCAGTGTATCTTGAGGGCGAAGTGCATGGACTGCGCTGCCTTGTCCAGGAGGAACCTGTGCAGCGACGACTTCTGGTACCGCAGGAGCGCTATTTGGCAGAGCTGCGGCAGGTAGAAGTCTATGTCGTCGTCCGTTCTCTTGTACAGATCGTTCACGAGATAGTCCTGGACGCCGGGCTGCTCCATGCGGTGTAGGTAAAGCATGTGCATGTGTTCATCGAAGAGCTCCGACTGGAAAAGGCGGAGGAGGGAGCCAACACTGCTCATGTTGCCTGCCCAGGAGTGCCAGCCAGCACAAGATAGTCGCAGACCGAAGCGAAAGCAGCATCGACACCCCGATATCACTGAGTCGAATTCGCAAAAATGATGGAGGGCAATATGCCTATCCGTTTACAAGTACGTCAACCAAAAATCGACGGACCAACGGGCCGCCGAAACCCGAGAAGCAAACCCGAGAACCCGTTCCCCGAGGGGCCGACTGCTTCCTGGCGACGGCAGGCGATCGATCCCACCGGCGCGGCGCCTGCCGGGCCCCCGAGGCCGCATGAACGGCGGCGCCGACGGGGAAACCTGTCGTGCAGGGGGGCGATAAGGGGCCTCGGGCTCAGGGGCGGTGATTCGACCTGGAATCGGCGACACATCGCCCCGTAGATCGGCGATACGATGGAGGTCCGTCCACAGGAAACCTCCCACCGGAAACCCCATCCTGAGACCCCAGGACTTCCACTGATTCTTGGTGCGGGCACGTCGCGCGCTGCACAGCAGAACCGCCGCAGCCCAAGAAACCCGGGGGCACCCTGGAGGCAGGCAGGGCGTTTTTGGGGGCTATGGGCCCCCACTGTCGGCCCCCCGGTGGCGGCCTTGCCCGTTCCTGGCCAGCGTGGGCCGAGCCCCGGTCGGCGATCAGAGGGCGATTGGGGTCGACGCGCTCCCCTCGAGCCTGTCTGGCAAGGCTTCGGGCTGGGCCCCGAAAAGCCCCCCCCCACCCCCCCAGGCAGCCCTGGCCGGCCTCGACGAGCCCCCCGAGCACTCCCAACTGGCCTCCACCGGCCCCCCCGAGCAGTCCGAGGCGGCCTCGACACCCTCGAACCGCCACCGGCGGCTCCTGCGGGGCGTTCCGCGCCCCCACATTGGGAGGCTGATGGGTGTCATGCGATCGCCCAGGACAACTCGGGAGGCTGGACAGCCAGCTGGGACCACGGGGGACGCCCGCGGAAGCCAGCCGGGACTACCTGGGGGGGCTGGTTGCGCTCAGCCCGAAGCCTTCCCAAGCCTGTCCCCCCCTACCGTCGCCCTGATCTCGCCTCCCTCGCGGGGCCGCGGGCGGCGGCTGCGGCGCCGGGCGGGCCAGGGCGGCACCGGGGGAGGGGGCACCAGGGGGCCGCCGCCCCCGGGCGTGGGCCAAAACTGGCTGCGGCGCTCCCCGTTCCCTCCCCCGCCGCCGCCCCCGTTTCATTTGATCGCGCACATGTACATGTGAAGATCTGCCACCGTGCCGCCAGGTAGGCGTCCAGGGGGCCTTTCCTCTTGAAGTGGAACAGCAATCACAGAGAAGACACAGACTCACGAAGGCCGCGGCCGAAGAGCTGCGCATCGAAATTGGGACAAGAGAGGTCCTCATAGAGCGGCTGCCCCACCACGCAAGCACAGGCAACGCTGAGCTCCAAGATCAGGAAGGTCGCGGCCATAGTGCCGTGCGCCGTGCCGGCCACCCCTCGGCCTGCACCCGGGTGTCCGCCCAAGGGCGGGGCGCCCCGCGAGTCGCCGCGCTGCTCGGCCGTGGCCTGGAACACGGCAGAGCCGAGGAGGCAGGCTGCGATCTGCACCTGCGCTCGCCGCCAAGGGCCCGGGCCAGCGTGGAGCGCGGCCCAACACCACACGGCCTCCGGCTGCAAGAGCGCATCCCGAGGGGCTGCGGTGCCAGAGGTCGAGCCCGCCCGCCGCGCGCCGCGCGCCGCGAGCCGCCGCCCGCGCCGCTGGCCTCTCCAGCACAGCGTCCATCGACGCAACTGCTTCCGCCACACGGCACCCATCTACTCGACACCCTCAGTCTCCGATGCGACACCCACCTCCTCAACAGCGTCCGTCTCCAGCACAACCGCCACCTACCGCACAGCCTCCCGCTGCAGGACTGCAAGAGGGCACCCTGGTGCATCGGCGCCGCGTGAGCAGCCTCATCGATGCAGCAACGTCAGGGGAGAGGATGGCAGAAGGGGAAATGCGGTATCAGAAGGGGTTGAACACGGAGTTTGATGATACCATCGATTGTTTTTCCTTCATTTCGTCTCCTCCCCTCCCTTCCACCTCCCTCTCCTTTCCCCCAATCTTCCCATCCGCGACCTCTGCCCTCCCCTCCCTTCCTTTCCTCACACCTTCTTATCTGCTCTCTCCTCCCCTCCCATCATTCTCCATTCTCCCCTACTCCGTGCCGAGCGCGACTCTGCTGCTTCACCTGCTGTCGCTGCTGCTGCTGCTGCTGCGGTGGTTGCAACCACCCCCACCGTCCCTCACATTTGGGCGGACCTAAGGTACCAATACCGCGACACCCCGGACCTCTCCCGGGGTGCAGTCTGACCAGAACTTCGAGGATCATCCAAGCGTAGCGACAAGGGCTCCCCAGAAGAGCAGCGGTATCGGTACCTTTTCCTCCTCTGAGCCTCGTGGCCGTCCACCACTGCCCCCGCTGCCGCCGCCTTTGCTGCCGCTGCCGCCGATGCACCTCCGCGCCCTTTTGGCAAAACTCGCGAAAGCTAAGCGATGGTCTGAGCTCAGCCGAGCCCAGCGGGCACCCGCGCGAGGCCGACAGTAGCCCAGAGGGAGCCGCGCACCTTCGAATGCCTCCGCGACTCGGCCAAGTGTGTGCTGAAACAAGAGAGAGATTCGAGACGTGTGGGTGGTGAGGCGTCGGCCCGGCTGCGCACAGACAACCCACCAGGTACTCCCGGCTGGCCTCAACAGCTCTCAGACCTAGTCTCAGGTCGAGCTTGTGCCCCCCACAGGCGGATTTTGACAGAAAAATTTGGAAATTGTAACACAACTCAACCATGGTATTTTTTTAACAACAAACCTAGCCACACGATTGTTTGACTATGTTTGAAGATTCCTCCTGTAGAGGAACACGCCCGACTTAAGACTAACCCTAGCTGGCCTCATCCTCCTCCTCCTCCTCCTCCTCCTCCTCCTCCTCCTCCTCCTCCTCCTCCTCCTCCTCCTCCTCCTCCTCCACGACCGCGGGGCGAGGGTCGCCGCGAGGGCGCAGCCGGAAAATCGGCGCCGGGCTGGTAGGACTGCCCCGGGCTGCTCGAGAGAGACTGGTGAGTCCAGGTGGGAATGCCCCGGGGGCCCGTTGAAGCCAACTGGGACTACCTGGGGGGGTGTCTGTTCGGGGATGGACAGACCCCCCTTTAGCAAAACGTGGTTTAGTGAAAACGACCTGAGGCCCAAACCTGGCGGGCGAAAGCCTGGAAAAGGACGGCTACGGCACCCTCTCGAGAACCGAAAACGGACAATTCCCTAATCGACGTGTCAGGGTGGGGGTTCTGTCCACCCCCGAACTACCTGGGGGGGTGTCTGTGCGCAACGCGCAGCCTTGCCACGGCTTGGACAAGAGAGTCAAAGCAAAAAAAAATTGACCAGTGTCCAGACCATGCGTGCTCCAACAAACTATGTTGTGCTATCTACGTGGTGCCATCAATCTAGGTAGTGCAATATGTGTTGTGCGATGTATATGTATATATAGATGGTGCAATCTATGCCGTGCACTCTAAGTGGTGCTACACATAGAGCTATGTATATTATTTATACATACATGTGTTGTGGAATGCAAGTGGTGCAAGTGATGAGGCTCAACGTATGTTGTGCACACTATGTGATACAGTCTAAATGATGCAGCGCATGTAGTGCAAATGATGTTGCACAATATGTGGTGCGAACTATTTTGCGCACGTGCGTGGTGCAATATACGCTGTGCCATACACGTGGTGCAATCTATACGGTTCAAAACATGTTATACAAGCTTTGTGGTACAGTCTCAATGGTACAGCCAATGTTGCGCACTCGATGTAGTGCACGCAACGTGCGGCAATCTAGATTGTACACTTCACGTGACGCAATTATATATATATATATGGTCGAGGGTTTGGGCCCCCCCCTCAATGCTAATGCCATCGGGCCCTCCCCCCCCCGCACGTTGCCCCCCCCCCCCGTCGGCGTGGGCGTGGCGTGGTGGTTCCCCCCCCCCCCCTGTGGATAAGGTGTGGGTGTGGTGTGTTGCTGTGGGTGTGTGCGGGGTGACGCCATGGTCCTCCTCCCCCCTCCCTCCCCCCCTGTGGGTGCGGTGTGGGTGCGGCGTGTGGCTGGGATTGGCGTCATGTTGACAGCTCCGGTGCTCGACGTCGTCGCCGCCGCCGCTGGTGGTGCCGTCGTTGTGCGTCGTCGTTGTCGTCGTCGTCGTCGTTGTCGTCGTCGTCGTCGTCGTCGTCGTCGTCGTCGTCGTCGTCGTCGTCGTCGTCGTCGTCGTCGTCGTCGTCGTCGTCGTCGTCGTCGCCGTCGTCGTTGTCGTCCTTCTCCTCCTCCTCCTCCTCCTCCTCCTCCTCCTCCTCCTCCTCCTCCTCCTCCTCCTCCTCCTCCCCCCCCATCCCATCTGGATCCAGGTGGGGGGGGGGCCCGAGGACCCTGGGACCCATCCCATCTGGGGGGAGGGGGCCGTGGGCCCTGAGCCCGCGATCATATATGCACGACTTCTGGAGCAATGTATGTTGTGCGCTCTATGCGGTGCTATCTGCGTTCCGCAATCCACATGGTGCTATATACGCAGTGCGCAACATGTTGTATAAGATATGCGGTAAAATCGTCGTGGTGCCAGAAATGTTAGGTCGCAGCGCATTACCAACTCCACTGTTCGCGCAAACGTCACACCCACACACCAGCAACTTGGTTTACAAAACCCAAACCCATGAGGCGGCATTTGTGAATTTGACTATGTTGAAACACCTGCGGTTTCCTTAAAGCTTTGCAAAAATACACGCACAGTCCTTGCTAGAAAACTTATGTTGTGGAACCATGTGTTTTAAGGTGTTCGGGACATTCAACTTTGAAATCTTTACGAAACCAAAGATTGCTGAAGGGTTCTGGCATGCGCGCGACGACGCGCGCGTGCCCTTAGTCTCATTGTTTGCAACAGGCTCTTGCAAATGTCGGCGGTGGACAAACCTCCCCTCAAAAAACCACCCTTCAATGAAAACGACCTAGGACCGAAACCGACGGACCTGGACCCGCAAAAACGACGGCCGCGACGCCCTCTCGCGAACCGAAAACGGCCAAGTCGCTAATCGACGTGTCAGGGTAGGAGGTCGATCAACCTCCGAAAATGGACGATTTGTGATAAAC